AACATCAAAATAAAAAAATACCATAAATCAAAAACGTTTACTGTTATTTAGTTTGGTTTAAATCCTACAAAATCTTCATTGCTTTCACTGTAACTTATGTTTTTATTATTTAGGGAGAATTATAAATGGTTATGTTTTTAAACGAAAAAAAAACTACTATTGTTATAAATAACATATTCAATTGAACTAAACTATGCATGCCTATTTAAATATATTTACACATGGCTTTTGTATATCGTATAAATACATATATATTATTCATACCTTCGGTGTATAGGACGCAAGCAGATTTTGACATCAAATTTTGGAGTAAAAAAGTGCGTCTTATACACGAAAAATACGGTAAATCACCAGTTCAAAGAAAACTGGATTTCATTTTAAAATTCAAGATTTACGTGCCCAAGAAACGACAAGCTTAATTTTAATTTGTTTGTTTTATAGAAAAGCCATGTTAGACTATCTGCTGTGTCTGCCGCAGGGAATCGAATCCCTGATTTTAGCGTTGTAAATCCGAAGACTTACGCCGTCCCACCGGGAGAAATTTTGTTTGTAAGCGTTACGTTTGTTTGTAGTTCAGTACAAAGATACACAATGAACTATCTGTGCTATGCCCAGGTCTAGAAACTCGGTTTGTAGCGTTATAAGTCTGCAGCCTTATCGCTGTGCCACTGGGGGCCGTAAGTGTTAGATAATAAATAATAAACACATACATACATATACCGTTTGGATCGCCAAGTATATCAAAACTTACTGCATATTTTATTAAATTTGTTTAAACGTACTAAGAACGTTTTATTTTAGTGAGTTATATGAAAAGTGTTATATCTGCGTTACACAAAGTTTACAGATTAAAGGGTACAGAAGTTTTTCCATTTCTTAATAAACATGTGTTAAAATTACTTGACAAGAGTGATAAATTATAAGCTTTCCAGTTTTGAAAACATTCACCAATCAATGAACGCTTATCACACTTGCACAGTTTTACAAAACGGGTAATTAAAAACTTCTGACGAGTGCATGATTTCTTAGTGAGTAAACTCTTCAATGAGATAAACATGTATAAAGTGTCATATATAAAACTAGCTGTTTTCATTTTATATTTGTTCTTTTCCAGGATGCGTGCACGAGAAATATTTCAAAGAAAACATAATAATTAACCTGACCTTACATGAAATTTGATCACTGAAAATATACAAGATGGGCAAAATTCACTCTACAGTTCTGTCACTTGAAACTGTTTATTTTCTAAGTTAGTTTAAATTGTCTTCGTAATATTTTCTTTAGTGTCAACCATATATACCAACTGTATAGTAATCCTCCCTTCAACTTAGTAATTTTTTGCCATCCTGTATATTTCAAAATTAAATACAAATTTAACTATATTTCAATAAATCCGGTATCAAACCCCAATAATGAAATAGTAAGTGAAAACTCGTGCTTCGCGTACGAAACATTTTTTGGTTGTGGTCTTTTGTATCTGAATGCACAAAGTTTATAAAATGTAAAGGCAGTGCAGTGTGTGTAAATTAATTAAAATACTTAAATGACTTGCCTAGATTATCCAAATATGAGGTTAGGTACGTAGAGTTCTGAACGAATCAGATGGACGTACGGGGCGTCTCAATGACTGCGAGGTTAAACCTGTTCCACAACACGTGGTACCCACCAAACACCTCTAGTACAAAAGAAACTTTTAGTCGAATGGTCTGATCAAAAATGACAAACTGATCAACTTATCTAGTAAGAGTCACTAGATGTTTTCAAAACCTGGGTGTCGGTACCATTACTTAACAAATAAACACTGCTTTCTAAGATGGGGGCTCTGAGGAATGGCATATCCATTCCCCAAATGTATCTCCTTTTGCAATGCAAGATGTCTACATCCAGCTCTCCTTTACGTATATGGTGACATCGTCCGCACTTTCCTACTCCTAATTTAATTTTTGCATCGTTTAATGAATCTTGAAAAGCTTTCTACACACGCACACACGTTACTCTTTTAATTATATAGATACTACCTCAAAATTAAATTCATAGTCGTACATTCAATAAATTATAAAATACTTTAAATATTTTTTTTTCTTAACTTGTAATTTTACAGTATCTTAGCAAATAATTGTTTGTTTGAAGTTATGCACAAAGCTACACAATGGGCTATCTGTGCTCTGCCCACCACGGATATCGAAACCCGGTTTCTAGCAGACATACCGCTGTGCCACTGGGGGCTAGCAAATAATAATAAAGAAAGAATCATCTTGTATTTCAACTGGAAAATCTAAGCACTTTACAGTATTTCGTGTCGTATACATATCAGGGAAGATGCTCAACAAAATGTAAAAATATATTCTTTAAATCTTCCTGACACTAGACAAAGCAGTATTTTCTGCGACAATTTTATTTATTGTAATAAATATGACAACACAACGTTATTCATGCTTGAGATTTTTTTGTCAAAAGACAAACTGCAATGAAAATAAGGTACCTCAGACTGTTATTTTTTACTCTATTATATCATTATGTGGGGTCTTCAAACTGAAAAAAAAATAGGAGACCCCTGTGATAAATGATCATGTTCTAAATATAAGCACTAACATTTTCAACGTTGGTATGACTACTGTATTTTAACTGTAAAAACAAAGTGTTGTGAGCAGCATAATTTATGAAATCTGCTTGACACATCTAATAAAAGCTTTCAAAGTGTCAGGTACAAAAATCTAAATAATTCAAGTGATAATTTTTAGGTGTTACCTATGTGTCAGGTATTACATGTTCTATAATGCTGAGTGAAAACTGAAACAATTAGTACCTTTTATAATTTAAATTGGAAATTTGTATAACAAAATGCTAAATTTAAACAAAGGGAAAATTGTACATATATGTTAAAAGATTTCTTTTTCAGCTAAGTGAAAATGGAAAGACAAATATTGTTTAAAATGTACGACAAACAAAAGAGATGCGACTGACTATTCATTCGCTCAACAAAGCAGGAAAATTTAAAACTATTTTTTTGGCTGCGTTGAGAACATTGTAACGTACTACTGAACAATATACATATATATATATATATATATATATATTACTCTGCACGTGAGGATATTGTTTCAGAGTTGCAGTAAAACAAAGTACTTTAAACATATCAGAAACTAGCTGGAAGTTATGTAAATTCACGATTAATGAAAGGTTATCTTGGGACATGAAAAGTTGATTCCCTTATATGGAATGGTAAAAAACGCCCATAAAAACTGCAAAACAAAATGTGAAACCGCAAATTTGTATGTATCTCTGCATAGACCCAACAAACCTTCATGCCACATTGGGTGAAGGTCTATCAACTGGGGGCGAAGTAGTGGTAAAAAACACCCATAAAACCGCAAAATAAAAAACATGGACCCAATAAACCTCTATACCAAATTTGATGAAAATCCATGAACAGGAAGTGAGGTAGTGGTATAAAACACTAAAACGGGTATGCAAAACGCAAAACTGAAAATTTGTATGTATCTCCCCATGGACCTAATGAGCCTCCATACTCATTTTGGTGAAGATCCATCCACACCCTGCGAAGAAGTTATATGGACATACAACAGACAGTACTATTATATTTATATAGAAACCCAAGCATAATATTACATTTTTCATTTATACCATCAAAATCACAGCATCGTAATACAAGTGTGACGAAGAAATTTTTTTAAGTTATAAACGAAAGCTAAAAATAAAACAGCATAAGTTTGTACTTACTCGAGGAAAAAAACAGTATAAGATCACATAAGATTTTGAAGTCACACAAACATTTTACAGTCACTAAGGTAAAGAAACTTGTCCTCACATACACATTAATACCAATATCCCGTATATGTAAGTTCGTGCAACTTAAAAACTGTACATGTAACTAACCGTTTAAATCAATATCAAGTCGGATCGTTTCGCCTACTCTGTATTTAATTCTCAATACACTTAAGGTGTTTTTAATGCAATGCATTTTTAACCTGCAAATATTGATGACAAAAATATTATTCAAATTTTGAATATTCAATAACTTAGGATTTTATTTAAACTCAGAAAACTGATATTAAAATGACAGAAGTCAAGTTTTCATGCCACATTTCTCGAGACATACAGTAACAACTTTCGTTTTTCTTTTTCAAGATTCTAGCAACAATTTAAATATGTACTAATAAAACAGATTCATAGTCATGTACCAACTATTACTTCACAAATTATTATATCATATTAACATGAAACTACCAAACTGCGAGGTCTACAGCTGTATTCTACCTCAACAATAACATCATCAAAGGAAACCTATTTCAAAACATTCGAAACTACCTTAAAAGTTAAATTATCTACAATTACTGGCAATATTTGACACCTAAATGAAAAATAAACGGCATACTAAGTATAAGAAAATTATAAATATACAAACAACTCCAATAAATAAACACATGACTACACATTACATATACTATTGACACTGTGACAGTGCTGTTGACATTTAACTAAATAAGATTAACGTTGATAGCTGCCCGTGGTAACTAAGGCCAGCTTGTACACGACTCAGTCAAGTCATAATTTGAACATGCAAATTTAAAACAATGCTCCAAATGTATCTAAACATTTTTCACTGTATACTAAATTTCTTACCTCGTCTGGTTTAGGTGGTCTATGATTACAATGTATGGAATGTGTAAAACAAAAAATTTCGTAAAAACAACACAAGAGAACTGATAACTTAAGAGTGCTATCAAACTTCCACTTCACCCCAGCCACCATTTTGATATGAGTAACTCACAACGCCCTCTAGTGACGTCGCTCATGGAACACAAAGTGACAACAATGTTATTCAAATTTCTAAAGTAGTTCATAAATAATTAGAATTTCAACGAAATTGCGGAAAATTGTAAAAACGTGGAATAATGAAGCTTATACAAAATGTTTTTTTTTGCGAATTTAATATAAACACAATGCTTTGCAACGGACTTTTAAATAATTGTATTTTCTAATATACACAATAAGACATTGTTTTGTTTTTATATTTAACTAGCGAAAGTACCCGGCTTTGCTCGGGTTGTTAGGTTAATGTATTCTAGATGACTATGTCAGTGTGTGTGTATTCTGAGCCTATTTTAGCATAGAAGAACAGTCAAACATATTTTAAGCATATTTTTATTTCGAAGAAACATAAAAAAGTCATAAAGGTACGATAATAATAAAATTATTACAGATAATTATCGCTGCCATTATACGTCACGTTATCTAACCTATATAACAGCCAGTGTGTGTCGTGTCACGACATGCTTGATTTCTTCAAATAACAGGAGTCATAGAAACCAAAATGCATTTATCTTTTAATGTCCGCCTATTATGATTTTAGTGACGGGGGTGCAAGGGGGCCGTGAAACTTTGTAAGTTTAGTGAATGTAGGTATGATTTAAAGAAATTAATAAATAAGCCTAAAATAAAGTCGAAGTGTGAGATAACCTAACCTAGAGCCAAGTGCATAAAATTTATCATGCAAGTAAAAATATCGATCCAATTTTAAATTTATATCGTTTCTGAATTTAATCAATGGAGACTCTATATTAAGAAATCAACAAATATTTTCCAATTTTGTAGTTTATACATTTCATTTTATACTTTCAGTTCATATACTAACAGTAATATTAGGTTATACTTTTGTTGCTAAGCAACATGACATAAAAGCTATTGTTGGAACGCATTGTTACCAAAACGCACTATATACAATTAGAAGTTGTTATATAAGGAATAATTTATTTTTTATGTAGTTTTTCACTATCTTGCCTCATTAAAAACATGCGCACACGCATGCACGAACGCACGTGGATAAGTTATAATACCCACGTGCACACCCTCAGGGTCCACTTAGTATGGGTGCAAAATTTCAGGTTTCTAGGTTCTTTCCTCTTGAAGCTATGGCGATCACACACACAGACACGCTCTTTTATTATCATAGTTGATAGGTACTGCTTTTAGCTATTAATGTCTGTCTG